ATTGGTTAGGAGTATATTTTCTAGTGATTAAATAAAGTATTGTGAGAAGCTAATTGTTGAAAGCAAGAGAAGAAAATAAAAATAATTTATCTGCATCCTACAAGATAATAAGATGACGAAAGAGGGAAGTTTGAAGGCCTAAGAAGGAGCACTTGTACTAATAAGCTCACAAAAGCATCCCTAAGTCCCAAGGAAATGGTTTGATCCCTTTGAATTTTGATATACTTTTGATAGTTTGAAGGGGAGCGTGCTTCCTGATATACAAATCGTGCTGCCCTGTACTGCTCCTGAGATTACTTTGATTTGCAAGGCTAACTGATATCTAGCTCACATTCTGAGCCATACAACAGCTTTGCTATGGGACTCTATTTCTTATAGAAGATGGCAATAAGTGTTTTTATCCAATACTGCTTTTGGCGCTAACTAAAATTGTCAGCATTTTCTAAAAATTTTAATGAAGAATCCAAAACTTTTTCCTAGTTAGGAAGCAAAACCTAACTAACCTGAAAACTCCACAGAGCCAGACCTGATGAGTAGGGGAGATGAAGAAATATCCCCTGTAGGCTTAATTGGAGAGTTGGACAGTTAATAGCAAACCACTTCTTGTGTTGTCAAGATAATTGCAGTCATATCCATGAAGTCAACAACTTACTGAGCTTGATTGGAGATTTCCATCAGAATTTTTGCTTTGACTTGCTCATTATGTTACTACATATCCCCTTCCCTTATTACTAATCTCATACCATGCCTCCTCATGAAACTACAGGAGATCCTTCCAGAGCTCCCATCTGGAAATATATAGCCGAAATTTGGCTATACATGATGATGGAACTCAAGACACATCATCAATGCAGCATTCAATTATTCCCCAGCTCTCTTGACCCTGGGAATCATACCTAGGAAAGATACATGTACACTAGTGAGTGTGAACATGGGGCATCTACATTTATTAGCAATATTATCTCTACTATAAACATTCTACTTGACGGATACGTCTTTTACTTTGTATTCACACACATTCATCTAAATGTAACGAAATTTAGATAATTATTTCTCCTATCTGTAGATTGTTTTCTGAGTCAGATTTTTGTAGTCGGTCAATTTATGAAGCATGACTGTCATTGAGGACTTGTATCAATTGTGTGTGACCTGCGAAGGTTCACAAGGAGATCGGCATAAATGAGACAAGATTCATGCTTTCTTGCTGAGAACAACTCACACTTATTTTAATGCAAGGAGATGTACTGTTCTCAGTAAAGGAAGGAAAAAAGGGAAAAACACAATCCTAGTTTTACTGAATAAAAGTAACTAAGTAAATAAAAAATGGGGCAGAAAACTTGCATCCACTAAATACAGTCTTACAGCTTTCAATAATTTATTCGGAACAGTACAATGGCTGCTCCCAAATGCAATAGCAAACTTTGGCTCATTCATTCAGAAATATAAGTACAATCTCCATGCTTCAACTCTTTTGTAAGAAAGAAGCTTTGTTTTGATCAATAATAGTTAAACATTATAATAAAATACTGACAAATTGAGGCTCCTGTAAGAGGCTTCACAAAAACATATGAAGGTCGAGTCACAATCCTTAATTATGGTTCACTGAATTTGAAAGCAAAAGGATCAAAATCTCTTGTTAAAAAGAATAGAATGAAAATGTACAAGCCCCAAACTTACCTAGCTTATGCTCATAATAATCAACAATTTATATTTAAATTCAACCAAATTATTAATTATAGTTCCTCTACAACACTGGAATGTCTACAGATTCTATTATTACATAGTATTCTATAACGTGCATACAATTTCCACACTCAACATTACAATTATATTGCAACTGATTTCTGCTATCTTATTTTATATTACAGCCAATGAGAAGTAAATAGAAAACTGATACACTCATTTCCCTCCTAATCCCAAAATGTCAGTTTCCATTTTACAAACTCTAGTCCTTCACTGTTACTACACCTTCTTTAAAGATATACTGGTAAATTATTTAGTGGAAGACAGTGGTCACAGTTTCTTTAATCAGAGAAAATAAAAAGTAAAGTGTGTTAATTGATAATCATTTCACGAAGATGTTTTTTTCAAAATTTGTTGTACAATATGCCAATTACATACTTAAAATGTAATTTCAAGCTAAGTTATATTAAAACCACATTTGATGAAATAAAGAAAAGAAATATATATACTCACCACTTAATATAGGAGTCAAAAATTAATCTGATGTCAAAACAGGACTTACCTGTATGGCATTAGTTTATTTCTCTTCAGAAAAATTCTAGTGCAGGAGTTAGCAAGCTATAACAAATCTAACTCGTCCAGTCTGGCAATCTGTGGCAGCTTGTGCCTCACATTTCAGAGGAAAAATAGTGCTGCTCCCACCCCACTAATTACATGCAGATCCAATCAAGTAGCATAAAGCAACAGGAAAATTACAGATCAAAGGCAAGAGTAAACAAGAGAAATAAAGCAAGATGTAATTGCTGTCATTTAAAAATTAGCTGCATTTATAATAGAATTCAGGTATGTGTATCTGTCCAGTTGGGGCTAAACTTTCAGAATTTCTCACCATTGGAACATGAGCATTGGGATTGCTGGAAATACCACTCCAGCAACATTTGAAAGATTCACAAATTTTCCATCTCTGGTGTAAGATGGAAATGTGATTAGTATTCTTCAAAAAATTGTTACATGGCAGCAGTTCATACCTGTATTATTTTCTGTACATCATCTGCCTGCTAGTTCCAACTGGAAAATCCCTCCCTTTGTAACTTTCATCTCACACTAAAACAGATGGAACTGATAAACAACCCTGGTCTAGTTCACCAAACTATTATTTCCTACCTCCCTATTTCTTTTTTGAAGAAAATAGCAGAATTTATATATCAACTATATATTGACTTCTGTTTTAACATGCCCAGGCCTGACTACAGATGCAGGAAATAATCTGAGATTTTATTTTTATTCAAATGTGTACTTTAGATAAGCTTAAAAACAGTCTATACCTACCTAATTATTTCAAAAAATGGTGATAAAGCCATAGGTTTGCTCCCTTGGCAACACTGCCATGCTTTCAGATAATTTTGATTTAAGATAAACTGACATGAGCAAAGCATATTTCCTTCTAGCTTCTTTATTTACAAAAATATCTCTATTCCCTATGTAAGCCCTAAATGTATTCCTAGAAAATACAGGTAGTCCTTTACTTATAAGTATTCTTTAGTGACTGTTCAAAGTTACAATGGCACTAGAAAAGTGACATGACTATTTTTTTACATTTTCAACATGATCAAAATTGGTAACTGGTTCATATTTATGATTGTTTCAGTTGTCCCAGGGTCACATAATCATCTTTTGTGATCTTCTGACAAGCAAAGCCAATGTTCATTTAACAATTGTGTTATTAACTTAATAACTGCAGTGATTCACTTAACAACTGTGGCAAAATGTCATTAAATGGAACTAAACTCACTTAACCGGTTTTGCAACAGAAATTTTGGGCTCAATTGTGGTAATAAGTTGAGGATTACCTGTAAACATTCCAGTAATTGAGGGGCTGCCACAAAGAAAAGGGGGTCAACTTATTATCCAAAGCACTAGAGGGCAGGACAGGAAACAATGGATGAAAACTAATCAAGGAGAGAAGCAATCTGGAATTAAGGAGAAACTCCCTAAGAGTGAGGACAATTAACCAGTGGAACAGCTTGCCTTCAGAAATTGTGGCTGCTTCATCACTGGAGGTTTTTAAGAAGAGACTGGAGTGGACAACCTCTTGTCTGAAATGGTATAGGGTCTCCTGCTTGAGCAGGGGGGCTGGACTAGAAGACCTCAAAGGTCCCTTCCAGTTCTATTCTATTCTATTTTACATGCCATTTGCTTGAAAGAATGCCAGGTGCCTGGACACAGGGCAAAGGTAAGCTGGGATCATTGATGGGCAGGAAGCATTATGGAGATATATTGAGGGAAGCCATAGCAACATATTTCCATTCAAACCATTTGATAATAAGTGTGCCTCCCATTACAATCTGTGAGAAAGCCAACTATGTATTTTTCAACATTTAAGCAAGGCCTGCTTCAAAAAGGTTTCCTACTGCAGTGTTTTTCAACCACTGTGCCGCGGCACACTAATGTGCCGTGACATAGTGTAAGGTGTGCCGTGGGAGAATTACTTTATATATAGTCAATATAGGCACAGAGTTAAATTTTTTAAACATTTTCTAATGGTGGTGTGCCTCGTGATTTTTTTCATGAAAAAAGTGTGCCTTTGCACAAAAAAGGTTGAAAAACACTGTCCTACTGTAATAGTGNGGGGGGCTTGCAGAGTGCTCCTGGGGGGTGGGGAGACCAAAAACGAGAAAAAAGGTCCATTTTTTTGTCAAATAAATTGCATGCATAGCCTTATGGAGGCTTATATAGAGTGCTGTTGTGGGCTGGGGGGGGGGGGGGGGACAAAAATGGCCGTTTTTTGCTTATTTCTGCCCTCTCCAGCCCCCAGGAGCTTTCTGAAAGCCTCCGTAAGGTATGCACACCCATTTTGGTGAGGGGGGGGGGCTTCAAGAGGCATAAAATGCTGTATTCGATGTATAAGACGCACCCAGATTTTCAGCCTCTTTTTTTGAGGAAAAAGGGTGCGTCTTATACTCTGAAAAATACGGTAAATGTACACATGCTCTTTATCTCCTTTGATGAAATAAAGCATCCTTTAGTTTTAAAACTAGAATTCCCTTTTATGTCTGAATTCAGATAATCTGATTAGTAAAATTCCTAATTTATGAATAAATCAAGACAATCACTTAATTTAACTAGAACTTAATGTGACACATGAAATCAGAAAACAACCTTAAGATACTGAGTTCATACATGTTGTCATAATGCAATTTGTTTCATTTGCTTAACATAATATGGGAATTCAGATTATTTTTACTTATTCAACAAAATGAGATTAAACAAATCCTAGTTTAGTATGACTTTCGAATTCAGCATTATGTAAAACTAACCTTCAGAGGTCTGCAGAGGTAATAATACCGTGCACCCAACACTTGAGCTTGTGGATTAGATAAGAGGCCTACATTAGCCCATATCACCTGAATCTCCAGGGAAACAGGAATCATACAATGCCCATCCTAGAAAAAAAAATACCAAAATTTAGATAATAGGAGCCCTAATACTTCCTGTTGATAATCATAAGTAAGATCAGAATTACTGCAACATTTACATTCAAGTACAAAACATAATTCACAGTACTACAAAGGGATACAGAATGTTCTGTCATCTCCATCTCTCCATTTGTGGGAAGAACAAACAATGTACAGCAGGCACATTGGTTCCAGTGGAAAAAAATTTCTTTCCGAATACAAAGCTGCAAATGTACAGTGACTGTAACAAATTAGGTCTAGTTTGATATAGCTGAAAAAATAAGAGAGGATATGTTTTGGTACTTGTGACAAAACTTTTATTAGGAAACTATAGATGGATACTCTTTCTCATATTACCTGCAACTTACACCTCTGGGTAAAAACTCTGGTCCATTGCTCTGGATGGCTTGGATCAGCATTGCCAATTATGGCCAAATGCCCTGTGCTGAGTCCTCCTTCGAAGGCTTGGTAAAATGGCTCCTGCAAGTTATTACAACTTCTTTCCTCAGGTTTGAAGGGTATACTACGAAAGACCAAGCCACCATGTGTCAAAAATATGAAACACCAAAAAAGATATTAAACAGAACTAACGTTACTCCTATTAATACAGTGAGAAAGATCTACATGGGAAAACTAGCTAAGTTATAAAGGAAAGATAACACAAAGATCCAGTCCTTCTAGAACTGGAATCTCAGGAAGTAATTGTCTGGAAATATTTGTGGAGATGTTTATACACAAGTCCTTCAATGTTCAATGAACATGTAGTATATGATGGAGAACATTTAGCAAAATTCTTCACTTTATGTGCCAAAACTGATACAGTACATCTGAAACCTGAATTAGAAGAGCAAAAATGTAGAGAGGAGGAGCCAATGCCACGACGATATGGNAAACATTTTCTAATGGTGGTGTGCCTCGTGATTTTTTTCATGAAAAAAGTGTGCCTTTGCACAAAAAAGGTTGAAAAACACTGTCCTACTGTAATAGTGAATTAAGAAGCAAATGTGTATAACTGTGCTGCTATAGCACTGCTATAGCATTACTGTAAGATCCCATACTTGAGTCATGAAATCTGGAAATATATTTTCTTCTCAAACAGCCAGCATATGAAACAAACACACATCCTCCCCCGCCCCCATTTCTTAGGCAATAATGTATTTGCTTTTTTTTAAAATAGCACTTCTGAAATCTACCTACTCACAAGGATCTTATCTCAAAGTTCCTGAAAGTCTAGCATAAACTTTTATCGAGCCAAACAGCCAACTAAAGTGAGATTGTAATAGGATAGTGCAGCTTTCTCATATTGAAAATGTTGTGATTAACTTTTCTATGGTATTAAAATTACTTTGTAAAATGTTCTTTGCCATGAAATACTGCATGGCAAATGAACTGTTAACATAAACTTATACCTTCGTTGTATTATCTTACTACAAAGACAATGCACATTCTCAAAGAAAACAACCTTCCCCAATCTGGTTCCCTGATTTTTTTCAACTCCTATAATCAGCCTTGCTAATTATTCAGTACATCAGAAGAACATTCGATGAAGCTTTTACTGAAAACCTGGTGTGTGTGTGTGTCTGTGTGTGTGTGTGTGTGTCTGTGTGGAGGGGGGGCGGGTTAAGTAGTTACTAAAATTCTTGTAAAACAGGTTTCAGGCTGGCAAATGAATACACCAGTGGGGCTTTCACTCTTTTTAAATTGCTACAGAAGGCTCTCTCGTTGTATCGCATCCCACCATCACTAACAAAGCTTGCGCCCATCCGCCTACCATTTAGAGGTGGGGACTACAGTAATCTCCAAAAATGATCAGCTAGCCACAGAGGTTTGGGAACTCTGGTCTCCAGAGATACGGAAGGCTCCCGACTGGGAAAGGGATACTGATGGAAGCCTTCAGACACCGTGCAAAAGAACGCCTCTTCCTCCTCGCTAGAAGGAGAGGCTATGTCGACCCTCGCCCACTCCGAAGCAGAGGACGTGATCCCAGCAGCAGCAGAAGCACCGCCCAGCGCAAGAACAACGCGACCGGACCCCGATAGCCCCCCGACCGAGATCAGCCAACTCCCCCTCCCCCCGAATCACTTACGAACCTCTGAAGCAGCAGCCGAAGCCACGCGACGCGCCCAGCGAATCCGCCGGACAGCAGTGACTGCCAGCCAAGGGACTTCCGGCCGATGGCCCGCCCCCCTCAGGCCCCGCCCCTTCCAATGATAGCTTCGTGGCATCCTTTTTTTTTCCTCCTACCGTATTTTGCTCTCTTGCTTGTTTCCGAAGTGTAGGTTGCTGCCTTCTGCTTTCTCCTTTGCCTTGTGAATTATGAGCTTAGAGGTTACGAGCTGCAGGGTTGGGTGGATCTATTGATAACTGGCCTGAGGTAGTTGCTAACTTTCGTTTGAATTAGCCCCCGTTGTGAGGATTCCCGATGAAGCTCGCCATTTCTGGGACAAACTTAACTGCTTCATCCCATTTTTCAGACTTCTCAGCCTGTCCATTCTGAAGGAGGACTTCCCTCTATCCTATTGAAACGTCAAACCCACAGATCCCAGGTTGGGTTTTTTTACCCAAAAAGTTCACAAAGGATTTCCAATCAGCAGTTCAGGTAGTCAACTTCAGACTACAATAGTCCCAAATTTCTGTTGCTAAGTGGGACATTTCTTAAGGTAGTTTTGCTTCATTTTATGACCTTTCTTGCCACAGTTAAGTGAAGTACCACAGTTGTTAAGTTAGTACAGATAACCCTTAACTTACAACCACAATTGAGCCCAAATTTATGTTAAGTGAGACATTTGTTGAGTGAGCTTTGGCCCATTTTATGACCTTTCTTGCCACAGTTGTGAAGTGAATCACTGCAGTTGATAAGTAAGTAATCCAGCTGTTAAGTAAATATGGCTTCCCCATTGACTTTGCTCATCAGAAGATCGCAAAAGGGGATCACATGACCTTGGAACACAGCAATGATCATAAACAGTTGCCAGCATCTGAATTTTGATCACAGGATCATGAGGACATCACAATGGTCATTAGTGTGAAAAACGATTGTAAGTCATTTTTTCAGTTCCATTGTAACTGTTGTAAATTGAGGACTACCTATAAATGTAAATGTAGCTTTTTGCACTAAGAAAGATAAAATGATCTTTCTGGTTCACATTTCTAATATCTTTATAAAATGTAGATATATCATTGTTCTCGTTAAGACTGTAATAATAGTGTGTCTTATCAACACATTTTCCCATTGTTCAATCTGTATATATTATGACCAAATTTTATCCCACTTTATTGTATTCTTTCACTTGCACTCTCTCAAATTTCAATAAGTTTATACATTTTAACAACATATGTTCATAATCTGTAACAATTCCATTTCCAAGTCAATGTTACTATATTCAATACCATACATTATTTTGTGTACCCATCATTCCTGTGGTTTTATTATGATCTATAAAGTCATTTATGGCTTAGCACCTAATTATCTTCAGGATTGTTTATTCCAACTGGAATTGGACTAAGCTATAAAATCAGCCCAGGAAAATAGCTGCGGAAGGCTGTTTTCAGTAGGGTTGAAAACAAGGTGGTGCTTTTCAGCAGTAGCTTTGGTACTATGTCATTTTCGATTGGAAATCAGACTGGCTCCTTGTGAGGCGTTCTTAAGAAATGCTAAAAATAGTGGTCTCATGTAATATTTATAATTTAGCATTAGCTATCATTGTATATTGATTTGCAAGCTGCAACTGATTCAGAACATAATGGAATGTAATTTTAATAATTTATATTGATTTACAAAGCTTTTATTTGTACTATGGATGTTTTAGGTAATTTTTGGAGAGAAGTGTGTATGAGTATTTTTTAATTGTAGCGTGGCACAAATGCAATAAATGTGTTATGCTTGCTGTGTTTATATACATACACACACACAGAGACATGTATATATACTGTGGGAAGTTATCATCCAGCCGTCTCCCAGAAAAATAAAATATCCTAGGAAATATTGAAAAAGCAGAATATTTCTCTGGATATGAAAAGAAAGAAAAAAGTTTTAAAAGACAGAATAGTTGCCTGTAGCTTCCTGCCGATCCCCACTGTTAATGGGCCATTAAGGCCAAGCTAGTCCACTTTTACATAATAAAGACTTCTCCACTGAAGCTCCAGAGGGGATGGGAGTAAAGGCATGATAATATTGGCC